CATTCTCCACATGGTCCGAACTACTTCCGCGGAGATAACAGTTTCCTCTACACTTTGGGGTGGTTTTTCAACCGTCCTCTCGACTTCGCGATCGAAAGCGCGCAGTTCCCCGCTTAGAGGCTCTAGGCTGCGATCAGGTTCGGGGAGTTAGATGGCATCCCTTGAACAACCGAATGATTCCTAAGCGATTCGACATCACCAACTTCGTAGGGACTTCCATGGGCCAGTTGGTCGTAGTGGTCCTTTTGTCGCCTCTGGGACGCCTGGAGGTGTAGTCACGCTTTTAATCGCGGCGATACGCATATTTTTATTCAGACTTGTAAGGTAAGTGTTGACTGGTACCGTGTTACCTTTGAAAGGTACTTGGAGATCCTCTAGTATTCGCATTTCAAGGCCACGTGTGAAGGCAACAGGAGTTTGGTGGGTCAGTGCATGTACGGTGGGGCGATAATCCAGCATACAAGCTGGTAAGACATCATCCCACGTTAGGGGATCCAGTCGATCAACGAAAACTCTTAGTAAACCGATTAAGGTTCTATTAATCCGTTCTACTTGACCATTAGCTTAAAGATGGTACGTAGTCATGCGAGTTTTATTAATGCGCGAGTACTTACATAGGTCACGTATAATGGTGTTTTCGAACGAACTCCCCTTGTCAGAGTGAATCTGGTCGGGGGCGCCCCACCTACATATCCAACCATTAAAAATGGCCTGGGAAACTGTATCGGCAAACACATCCGGCCAGGCGCCTACTTCGGCCATCTTCGTGAAGGAATCGACCATCATTAGAATGTACCGGTTACTTCTGTGGGACTCAGATATGGATCCCATTATGTCGACACCAACGCGCTCGTTTGGATTGGCTGAAGGGGGGCCCTGTTCAGCTGTCGTGGTGGCTTAAGCTGATGACATAGGGTCCAGTACCAAATGTAATTCTACACAGTGCGCTTTCAATTAGACCAGTAACATCTGCGCCTAAGGGCCCACTCGGTCTTATAGATATACACATGTCCTAACTCTGTGTGTATCCTCTCTATAACTTCTTCTACCATGGATAGTGACAGCCGGATACTTTCATGGATAGTAATCACTATCCCTATAAAACAGGACGCAATTATCCAAAAATAACTTATCCCAAACTGTGTGAAGACAGTGCGTTTCGAAGCTATGCCTTCTTAGTTCGGCCGTGCTCATCGATCGAGTCTCACTTAGCTTTCTATGGCATATCGGCCCAATATGCGGATCGTCCCGTTGTGCCTGCGCCCAAAGATTACTTTGATCATCGTGTAGAGAAATCGCACTTATGGTTATGTCCATGCAAGATGGGCATACGCTGTGTAGTCTATATGGTTGTCTCGATAAGGCGTCAGCATTGTTGCACAGTCGAACTCCTAGCCTGCTAGCCGCTCTTGCCATCATGCGACTTGGCCCTCCAGGTTCTTGAAGTTACGAAGCCACGTTAGCGAGCCATGGTCGATTCTAACGAGAAACTTTTGGTACTGTAGAAATGGTCGGCATGCTTCGATGAAGAATACAAGAGCAGGCATCTCTTTCCTAGTCACAAAGTACCGTTTCTCGGCCTCGTTAAGGGATCGGCAGAAGTACTGGATAAAATATTCCGTCTTATCAGCCTGGTGTTGTAATAAATCGGCGCCAATCGCAAATTCACTGCCGTCTATGTCAAGTATGAAGTCGCCCGCCTGTTGGCTGCTGTCAGGGAACGCGAGGATGGGATGTCTCGTAGAAGTACGCACTTCGCCGGCTTAAGGGTAAGACATGCCTGTTTTGAACTGTCAAATACCACACGCAGATTATTCAAATGATCGTCAAACGGCCGTCCCAATCAAAAATGGCCCTATACTCATGAATTAAGTTACATAGCTTTGTAGGGCTATCCAAGTCTAGTGAGGGTGGGACTAACCTAATAACACATTAGTCTGATTGGTATGTGTTAACCGCGATCTGTCTGCGTGGTACCTCGATATTAATGGGAACTTCAGTGACACAGAAACGTGTACTGTTATGGTTAAAATCTAATACACATTGAAACACGTGTAAAAAGTCTGCTCCTAATATACGTTATCCGGGCAAATAATACATGTATGTGTAAACGCGATTTTATTAAACAAAAGCTCAAGTTCTACTATGTCTTTGCTTCGCGGGGTAGTGTTTTTAGCCGTTTTCAGGATAACTTCGGACTTACTGCAATACCTTACCCTAGTTTGAAGTTTAAAATAATGTCTTGCTTAATAGGAGAGCATCCAGCTGCAGAGTCAACTAAGCATGGTAAGTTAGAATTTCCTATAATATTATCAATAGCTGATAGTATATATCGTGGCGCCATCGATGAAGATTTCCAGGATCCTCGATTCCAACGCCCCAAAACTCGCACCTGGGTATGCGGTGCGTGCCAGTACGCGGAGATGGCGCTGGTATTCGCCGACTGACTCTCCTGTCCGCTGGCACCTGTCCTTTAGACCTTTCGGGTGATC